GTTGCACTGCCGGCTCATGTTCATCTTGGAGTCAGCTATGACTCCAAGATCTCTCTCAGCCTCTGAGCTGCTGAGAAGGTCATCCCCCAACCTGTAGGTATGCTGGGGATTCCTCCTTCCTAGGTGGAGTATCTTACATTTATCTTTGTTGAATTGCATCCTATTTCATTCCACCAATTAACGAAATCATTAACGGGATCATAGCCTGGCACTACAGCACTGGTTTTGGGCAATGCCCCATGGCTGAGTGGTAGCAGTGCCTAGAGCTCTCCCTTCACTTTGACTGCTGAAGGGATGGAAGAGTTCTCTGCCCCTGCAACACTGGGCTGGGGACACACAGCTTCCCCATCCCCTTAGCTCTGCTGCTGCCCACACAGCACATGCCCCAGTTGGCTCCCACTTCCTACCCGTGCCTGGGGGAAGCCAGGAGCTGAGCAGTATTGGAGGTAAGTAGTGGTGGGACTGGGTGGAGATGCCAGGGTGGAAGCAGTGCTGGGACTGGAGGATGTCTCCCCCTCATCCCGGCACTGCTTATGCCCCCCTATTGTCCGCATAGAACCCCCAGGTCCCAGCACTGCTTACTGCCCCCCCACTGCATCTCGCCCTGGTCCCAGCACTGCTCAGCTCCTGGCTCTCCCCTGGCACAGGCAGGAAGCGGGAGATGACTGCGGCAAGTTCTGTGTGGGCAGCAGCAGAGCTGAGAGGATGGGAAAGCTTTCTATCCCCAGTCCAGCATTGCAGGGACAGAGCTCCCACATTCTGGTGCTGCTCAGCCCCTGACTCCTGGGGGAGCTGAGAGATGAGCAGCACCAGGACCAGGGACAGAGAGCTTCCCCGCCCCTTCAGTAAACTCAGTAAGCAAAGTGAGGGGAGAACTCAGGACACTGCTGCCACTTGGCCACGGGGTATCACCCCAAGCCAGCGTTGCCAAGCAGGGCTGTTATCCCAAGCTCCACTTGGCTGGGAGCTGTCCTCTGCTCCAGGATGGCACCTCATTGCTCCTTGGAGCCCAGCCCAGCCCAGGTCTGGCACTGCAGAAGGTTGAAATCCCCTGGCTTCTGTAGGGGGGCAGAGTAGGGCAGGGGGCAGGAGCAGCCTTGGACTCAACTGCTTCCACTGGGGGCAAATTTGCTTCCAACCCGGGCACATGTGTAGACACATTCCTGGGTGCAGTTTTCTGCACCTTATTTTGCTGTCAAACCTTAAGGCACATTAACTACACATGTAGATGCACCTTCCATCAAGCAAAGCTCTTCCTGAAGGAAATACAAAAATCTGACTGATTAAAGTCTGCCTGATTCTCTCCCTTGATAGAAATCTTATTGTGCTTGAAGTCTAACATCAGATATTTACTCTGTAGCTCCTATTGAATTTTGCACAGTCCTACTCTAGAGGCATCCATTTCCTATGTGGAAAAAAGCTGTGCATATAACATGTATGAGCTTTTCTTATCTCTTGCCCTGCAGATATTGCTTTTGTTGAATCTTAGCCTCATTCAGATGCTGCTTTCCGCATCTGGAGAAACAGAGTGAAGAATCTTGTTACTGATCAAGTGAAAACTACTGCTGTATAGCCATAGCTCCCATTCTAGACTGCAGTGCAGCTGAATATATTCCTTCAAATTCAGCTCTGTCTCTGTTCACCAGTGAGAATATAAAGCTGTTTTCTAGTACTTGTGAGCTGATCATAAATCAGAAACACCAAATGGGTCCTAATTTGTAAATTGTTTATTGAACAAATGATAGAAAGACCACTTCCTGGAGACTATATAGTATATATTTGCGGGTTCAACACCATAAACACAAGCATCCTGGCTCAGCTATATCTAAGGAAATAAATGCTATGTTGATGAATATGATTAAAAATATTCTGAGGTTTCATCACTGCTGTAATTTAGTACAATGTTTATTTACTTACAGCACCGTGAGTGCATTACATTCCAGAAAGGTGGCATTAGTTAAGGCTTTAATGCGATTACCTTCAAAATCCCTAAAGAAAAATAGGCAAATTTTGAGTTATTTTTCATGAAAAAGTTGTACAAACATTTTCATAGCAGTGAGCTCAAGGTTCAAACTTTGTTGTTGGCTGTTGCCAGTTTTGTCCTTTTGACTTTTCTTTTATTAGAGTTCTTGCCAAATCATCCCTGATTCAATAAACTGTTTTAGAGCATGAACACAAATGCCAGATAAAAAAAATCTACCTCATTTCTTGGTTGTGACTTGCTTTCTGTTATTCTAGCATTCTGTCTTCTCTAATTTTATTAAGACTAAATCAATATGCCTGAAATTTCTCATGAGTTCTCCATTTGCTGAAATATTCATATTTATGATGCCGTGGATCACCAGATGGAGCTGTTACACACAGTTTTACAAATTCTTTTTTGTAGCATGAAAGCACATTTTAAGAAGCTAAGAAAAATGCTGTATTGTTACAAGTTTTGTTATATAAGGGTTCTTGGAGAAAGGGTTCCAAAAACAGCAGATTTTACTTTTGACTTTACTTTCAATACTTAGAAATTCTTAGTGTAGGGTAGCTTACTGAAAACTGACCATTGCTGCATAGGTGAAGATTACAGGAAGGGGTGGTTCCCTCCATGTGCTGATTGCAACTCCCTACATTCCAAGACACTTATGTTTAAGTGTCTATAATTCTATATAGCAATTTCCACTTTGCACAGTGGTGCTCAATCTTTCAGCCACATGGGCCAGATGAGATGAGTGAAGTGTAGCCAGGCCACAGGCTGGTTTGGCGTGTAGGGTTGGCACTGAGGCCAGCCTTACATGCTGGATGGAGCTCGTGGATGACCCTGAGAGCTGGGCCTGGGACCATGGTGCAGGTCAGAACCCTTATGCTTGGTCCAGCTGCAGAACATCCTCATGTGCTGGCATGTGGGGCCCTGACATCCATCCCATGGAGCTTCCCACAGGTCCAGAAATTTGGTGGCAGGGAAATGATGACAGTGTTAATTGCTGCAGCAGGACAATTAAAGGAGCCATGGAAGGTAAGGCTGCCACTGTTCCCCCACTGCCAAATTACTGGACCCATGAGGAGCCCCATAGGCTGGATGACTCGGCTCTGTGGGTTGGATCAGGCCTGCAGGCTATAATTCGAGTACCACTGACTTTGCATATATCCAGATTCTGCACCATTGATTTTCTTCCAGCAAGAAAACGAATTGCAAGGCCCCAGATTTTTGCTACCACTGAGCAGATTGACACAGGTGTCAGTAGAAGGGGCAATTAAATCTATTTAAGTTTGGGGAAAATTAAGTGAGGCATTTGTCTGATGACTGTTTGACACATTTGACATTTCCATTTCAGCAAGTTTCCTAATGCTCTGTTTGGAAGCCTTTCAAAATGCCTTGACCTAAAAACTCCACATTTGGGTTATTCTGTTATCTCCATAGAGGACTAGTTACTAGGGGTGTACAAAATGGGCCCTATTTGATTTGGATTTGGATTTGGCCTGAATCAGGGACAGTGATTTGATTAATTGATTCAGATCACTGTCCCTGATTCAATTAAGCCGAATCCAAATCTAAAGATTCAATGCTGATTCGAAGAATCAGTGATTCGGACATAGACACAGCTTTAAATGTTTTTTCTACATACCTCAAGGTGGCTCATGAACACTGCAATGCTGGGGCACATGGAGTGTCCCACAGAAGCATGGGGGGCTCCCCAGCATGCTCTCTGGCAGACCCGGAAGTGGACCAGAAGCACTTCTGGTCCACTTCCGGGTCTGCTGGGGAGCACACTAGGGGCCCCCCCTGTGTCCCCCTGGCTCAGTGACTGGTGCCTCCTAGGTCTGGGTGAGGGGCACCTGGGGTCTCCCTGCAGCCAACTGCCTAGCCAAGGGGGCGCCAGGGGTCCCCAGAGCACTCCCCAGAAGACCCATAAGTGGATTAGAAGTATTTCCAGTCCACTTCCAGGTTCACCACCAAGCACATGGGGGCCCCCCATGCTCCTGTGAGATGCGCCATGTATCCCAGCATCGCAGCGATCATGAACTGTGCTGGTACCTCAAGGTATGTAGAAAAAACTTTTAAAGCTGTGTCTATGTCTGAATCTCCTAATCTGTCTGAATCTCTCTGAATCAATTTGGAGGGTTCCGATTAGATTTGGAGAGATTAAAGGGGCCTCTGATTCAATTCGGATTTAGAGATTCAGCCACCAAATTGGACCGAATCTCCACTGAATCAAATCAGGGACTAAAGCTTCACACAGCCTTACTAGTTACTGACTTTTTTTGAACAACCTTAAGTAAATATTTAAGGGTAAGATTTTTTACAGTGCTGAGTGTGGGCCATTAATATCAACAGGAGAACAATTAAGTCAGTGTTGAATGTTTTTTGAAAAGTCTACCCTTTAAGTAATAAACCAAATGGACCTTTTGCATAATGTACTTACATCCAGTTAATAAGAGGCATTTGAGTGCATATTTTCCTGGGAAGGGCCACAAGTGAATTGTTTATCATAGACCTTCATAAAAGGAAAACACTGTTATAAAAGGAAATTTAGCATTATATTTTAAAACAAATTCTAATAATAAAAAAAATATGAAAAGCATGAAGAAAAGATATGAACTCGATGATCTTTTGAGGTGCCTTCCAGCCCTAATGTCTATGAAATCTATGAAATCTGATGATGAATCCATAACATTAGATTAGTTACACTGTCTAAAAACTGAGAAATTCAATCCAGATTTTATAAAAATCCATGTCAACCCATTACCTTCTGACCAACATATTAAAAGGATTTTCTTAATAAACAGTAAATAAGTGCAATGCTTGTGAAATATGCCATAATAACAATGTTGGATAATTTTTATTCATTAAAAAAAATCTAGTGGTAGTAAACGTTTTCTATACCATTCTTTCAGTATTTCTCAATTTTTTTTGGAGGGTCCAGTTCAAAGTTTAAAGCGTTTTTCAATTGTTTGTCCATTCATTTTTTGGTTTTTCTGGAGAAAGTGGTGGCATAGGGGACAATTAATGCCAACTGGGGTAGCTGATCTAAATCATTGCCTACTAGGAAGCTGGTTGAGACAACCAAATAATTTAATATAAATGATTAAACACAAATTAAAGAGCAATACTTTACCATCTCTACTCTCGTGGCCTGGATTGCAATCAACTATCTAGTAGTGCAAGCTTCTGTATCCCATTACCAAAACTCAGGTTCATTGAGTTTTCCAGCTATCATTAAGTTAGCTGTAATTTCAATTTCTAAGAAACAAATCCAATAGTCCATGCATGCCACTGGGATCAGGAACTCATGATTCACTAGTCACATCTACACATGCACTTGAATGTGCCTATTTTAATGTGCATTTATATGGCAAAAAACCCCAAACCATGAACTTTCACTAGTGCACATTAAAACAGGCTAATGTGACTTTTTCTAGTACCTCACAATGGAGGTACTAATTATAGTGTGCATTAGCAAAAGCTCATTAATGAATGTGTAGACATGCCCACTGTAGACTTAAGAAGTCTTTTAGATTATCTCTAGAAGAGTAGCATTTATTGTTTATGTAAGGTGCTAATTGTGAGTTCATGTTTGGAAGGAATTCTGAGCACGTCTTATAAAAGTTTTTCTAGTGCACTCATCACTGGGTACATCTACATGTGTCCCTACAGCACCTTGGTTACAGCACCCTCTTTTAGTACTTCCTTTTGGAAGTAAATAGGATAAGAGTTTCCTATGTGCAGCATTCCCTCTAAACTGTGCAGCGGGCATGGCTGTGCAGGGGCATTTATACCATGCTGCCAGGTGTACCTGCACAGCCACGTATGCCACACAGCTTAGAAGGACGACTGCTTATGTGTATCCAAGAGATTTCAGTTTAAAAAGACTTTTCTTTGTGTCTCGTAAGAAGGGAATTATGAGTTTAAATAGATTGATGATTTTAAGGATATAAATCAGCCCTCGCTAGCAGCATGATATTTACAGGCATTGCATGGACAATACTTTATCTTGAAGACTGAGGGAAATTTGAATTCAGACTATGTAAGTGCAAACAGTTGAAAGGTATGATTCACTCATGAGGAAAATGTTTTCAAATCTTATGGAAAGAAAGAAAGTATACTATGGCTTATATTGTTAGCAGTTTTATAGACACAGAAAAACACAGGTATGAAAAATGTTCAAGATTAGTACTTACAGAAAAAACAAGGACTTCAGACCAGTAAATAGTTGTTGTGAAATTTTCACTATTGGGTTATCATCTAGAATTCTAGCAAGACAGAAAGATTAATTACTACCAGCATGATACTTGTAAAAACAATGGAAAACTGATTTGGAAAACTAATCTATAAAGATGCTGGACCATTTGTTTCTTACTGAGGTTTCAAAGTGAATAGAATTAGATATCTAAGATAACTAATATCCAGACTATCGTATAATAGTAAGAAATTTCAGAAATCTGCTATCCTGAATGAGAATAACTTAATCATAATTTTTTGCAGAAAGCTAATTACAAATATAACGTGAATGATTATTCTTATCATTTTAAATCTATGACTGGCAATGCTTTTAAAAGTAAAAAGAAATGGATACTCACAGCCATTTCAATTTGTGTAGGTCTCTGAATATCCCAGGTTTCAGACTGGTGATGCAATTATGACTGAGATATCTGTGAAAGAAGGAACATAATATTGGAATTAAAATGCGTATGCTTGGATTTAGTTTAATTACGTCCTGTCCTCTCCCACTCCCTGCCAAAAAAAGAATGATTTTAGCAATTAAATACTGATTTTACAACTGTCATAGAAATAAAATGACTGCAGCAACCAACTTTGTGTTTTAAAATCCTGAATGATAGTGATCATTTTTCTCACAAGGGCTCTCATATACAAAATGCAATTCGATTTAATTTTTTTCTTCTCATTTTACTACATGTTTAACACCATATGGCTTTAGGAAATGTGCTTTGCATATCAATCTTACAGTGTGTGGCAGTGGGACACCTATATAATTTAGATAAAATGAACTAAGTTTGCTGTGATTCTGGCTCATGTCACTTAGCCCACTACACTGCAGACTCTTGACTGAGTTTATAAATTAGTTTATAAATTAAGAACTTGTATTGACAATATTAGGGAGTCAGATATATCAAAAGGTAAAATATAATAATCAACTACTCACAATTTCTGAAGTTTGTATAATCCAAAAAATGCTTTTCTTGATATTGTCTGAATGCAATTATGTTGCAGAAATCTAGTATAGACAGGGTAAAAAAGCTAAAATGGTTACATGTCAGAAATTTTTTAGAATTCATAATCTCACATTTATACTCTTTGCTATTTAAGGAAGTTGAGCTAAATTAACCCCATATCAAGGAAAATGCTAATTAATACAATTGGCATTACACTGGAATTTAGTTAAATATTTTCCATCAGAATGCAACTTTCTTCTGGGTCATGCAGAGTATTTTACATCTCAGGGGTGCATCTACATGTGCACTTTACTGCAGAGTATTTCAATTAGTTCTTCAATAAAGTGTCACCGTCTGCATGTGTGTTGGTATTAGAGTGAAGCAAACTAATTAACTCCGCCATAATATAGTACTGTTGGGGGCAGTACTATTTTATGGCAGAGTAATTCACTGCACTAAAATGAATGTGTAGATACTGATTGGGGGTTTACTCCACCCTGGCTCCAGTTGCTGCTGTCCTGGGCACACATGTAGATGCTGTGCCCAGGAGTAGTTTACTCTGGCTCAGACTGCTTTAGAGTTATTGTTTCTCATTAATCATACATGTAGATGCATCCAGTCAGTAGGAGATGCTGTCACTTTACGGAACAAATCCACCATGCCCACAGAGGGCAGAGCCATTGGGTATAAAAGAAGGCCGGGGAAGTAAAATTAGTGGGACAAAAAAACCTACCAGATTCCTACCTAAACTTACATCATTCTGAATTTCAGCTATGCTTAATAATTAATGTTCACATATATCCCACTCCATGCTGAGTAATGTACTGAAGGAAGATGAATTCTATGGCATGTTTAAATAAAATTAGTTTTAGTGCTATGCTCCTTCAAATCATGTGATCCTTTCAAATGACTGTAGTTCCTCAAAGATCCTAATCAGTTTTGGATGGATAGCAGTTTAACAAGGAACTACTTGTTAAATGCATACCATCAAATAAGAATCAATGAATTAACACAAATAGTGTGTACTTAGAAGATTTGCAAGGATTTATTTTATATCTGGCATATGAAGAACAGATTTTTCAGCTGTCATTCTTAACTGATATAGGAAACCCAGGATTATATGTACCTAGTAGCTGTTAATTATGTTTTAACCTTATGAGGGGTTATGAGAGAGCGACATTTGACATGAATTATCAGCACAGCCTGAAGGGAATTCTATTTGCTAGCAGTGCATTATACCAGACTATGTAATTTATATTGATGTCTATGCTCTACTTTATTCTAGGAAGAGCAAACTGGTTTCTATGGTAACCCGAAGAAAGCCAGAGTTAAAGCTGTATAAGACAAATTCCAGGAAAAGGTCATTGGTTGCTTTATTTTTCAAAAAGATTTTTTTGCAATAGGGCCCACAGGCCCAAACAGCCTTATGGCCTTATTCTGCTACAGACAGTACCAATATTGAGGAAGGCAGCACCTGCTCAAAAAGCTTATCCTCAGCCCATGGAAGGTCAGTTAACAGCACAGGAAAATTACAGATTTTCTAACTAACTGAAAAAACATGTTGGATAGGGTGTCTGGAAAGTTCAGGTCACCCATGATGACCATGTCCTTTGACCTAACTACCTCTGTGAGCTGACTTAAGAATTCCTGGTCTAGCTCTTCCCCTTGGTTGGGTGGTCTGTAGTAGACCCCCACCAGTCACCGAGCTAGGGGGATGGGGGCCCAGTGTGCTCCCTGGCAGACCAGGACATGGACCAGAAGTGCTTCTGGTACACTTCGGGGTCTGCTGCCAAGTGTGCTGGGGAGCCCCCCATGCTTCTGTGGGACACTCCATGCGCCCCAGTATCACAGTGTTCATGAGGTACCTGCTACCTAGAGGTATGTAGAAAAAACATTTAAATCTGTGTCTATGTCTGAATTGATGATTCTTTGAATCGGCGTCGAATCTTCAGATTTGGATTTGGCTGAATTGATTCAGGGACAGTGATCCGAATCAATGAATCGAATCATTGCCCCTGATTTGGGCTGAATCCAAATCTGAATTGAATAGGGCCTGCTTTGCTCACCCCTAAGAAAAACCTAGCATTGTAAGTCTGCCCCACAGACTGCTGCTAAAACCATAATTTGTCCCTCTGCACAGAGTATGTTTTACATTCCTGGCTTTATAGTGTTGAGTCTTCTAAAATACTGTGGCAGTATCATGTATTCCACCCTAGTATTTTCTCTGTTTTTATACAGACCATATATTGTGTGAGAGCAGACCATATATTTGTGTGCTGCTTACAAAGCTGCATTGTGTCTGCATGCTTACTGCTAGAATGAGAAGCCCTCATAATTATGATTTGAATTCCATAAGTAAATGCCATTTTATGACATTAAAAGGCAACACAGCAGATTAAGTAATTCAGTACTGAATGTAGTACATTTGCCATAATGCAATAATTACTTAGAATTTGTAGACTGTTGAGAGGACACTTACATTTTCTTCACTTCTGTATATCTGCTGAAAACTTCATCTGGAAGAGCATGGATCTGGTTGTGTTTAAGAGACCTAAAATAATTGGTGTGTGAAAATTCACAATAAGCTCTTAATTAATTGTTGATTTTGCAGTCATAATCTAGAGTTTATAATTAGTACAACTGATCAAGTGCCTCACTGATAAACTAGGGAAACACTTTTGTTCAATCACTGGATATCATTCCAACTTTCTATCATTAAGACAAGTTTTGCTTGTTTTGCAAGTACTGTAAATTTAGATGTTCTAAGTATGAATAAATTATTTTCTGTGAATGTAATTGAGAACATGGTATAGGTTAATTAAAGCACTAGCTATGTTTAGAAAGGCCATTGATAATTACCATGTTGTAGACAAAGAATGAAAACCTTATGCTATAATCTGAATAATAATACAGCTTCCTAGTAGTGAAAAAGAAACAAAGTTCCTATTCTTTCCTTTTTAACACAAACATTCATAATTCTATATATCATATTTCTGTAGTATTTGAAGAATCCACAGTGATTCATAGCTTAGACTGGTACAAAATAAATGAAACCTTAGGATCGCTTCATCCACCCCTGATATGTCACTATCTTTCTAGTAAAATTTGGTGCCATTAATAGTATACAATATGACTGCATAACACCTGAAGAAAGAAGTGATTGCCCAGTGGAAGTCACACAAGGGATTTGGGTAGAGAACAGTAAGGACTTGGCCAGGACCTGCACCCCAGAACCATGTTGTTATTTCTTTTTTTGTACCAAGGTAGCTCCTAGGAGATCTAGTAATAGATGAGGACTCCATGGCACAGGACACAGTACAAATACATAATAAAAATGCAGTCATGGCCTCAAAGATTTACAATAAAAGCATAAGAGAAGTCAGTGGTCCTGCTCTCACCTACCAGTTCCTTGTCAAGCCACTCTAGGCCTCATGTTAGCTGCTCTTTGGCACCAGGTTCTGCTGCCGAGCCATTTATAATCTGTTAGTTTGTGGACTGAAGAAGGGGACAAGGCCCAATATTATGGGGATGTGATTAAGAAAATGGAAACAGGCTGGGATGAGAAGGTGTTTTTGGACCAGAGTGCAGTGAGATCTACTGGGGCTCATGGCAGACAGGTGTCCTGACCTGTGGCTGCCTCTTGACACCACAGACCCTCATTCCTGCTCAATATACTACTACCCAGTGGCCAAAAAACAGGACCTGAGCTTCAGACACCCTGGAACTTTATGGGTGGTTGTACTGGAAACTTACCTCAAGCCTGAATTTCACAACTAGGTCATTTCTATAATGGACCAAATCAAACCCAAGCACACTTAAACTTGTAGAGTTCAAAATGCCATTGTAGGTCAGGTCCATCTTTAGGGAAACTATAACAAATAGATTAGTCCAAGGGAATTAACTTGTTTCATACCAATGACCAATTCTTCTGTTGTCAAGGAAAGAAGTAGGGATACAAAGGAGTAAGATATCATTTTCATATGATGGGACAGTAGACTTGCCCATATTCTACATATGTAGGTTATATTTAACCATATCATTGTTTCTACAGCAACTTTATTCCAGTGAGCAAGCAGAAGGCAGAGTTGTGTTTATGACGGTACAATATTCAGAACTACTTACAGTAGGGTGACATTGCTTGAAACAAGTGGAACAGATTTTAAATTAACATCTACACATTCTAATTCAGTTTCTATGCAGTCACAACTTTCTGGATACTGGTGGAGACCTAGAAAAAATAAGTAGTGATTTTATATATGATTATTGAATATATGGATGACAGTGTTATATTTAATGCCTAATTTTGGTTTCCTTTTAAGACTCTGCTTCAAAAACAGGTCTGGCATTTATAGAAATAACAAGAAAGTCCAGAGATGAGTTAGTTCGGATTTAAAAAATCTGGAAAGGATATGAATACTAATGCTGCAGGGCAAAAGCCAGCTTCTAAACAGAGGGGTTAGGAAGAAAAAAGATTCCCTTGTGGGCAAGTTATTCCACAAATGTCTATTTGTGTTTCTTGAACCTTCCTGCAAGTCATCTGACACTGAATGCTGTCAGACGCAGGATACTGGAGTAGCCGATCACTGCTCTATCCCAGTATGGCAGTTTTCAGGCTCCTACTCTGTGAGTACATCTCACATGCATTCACGTTGCATTAAATTTACTGCACAGTAAATTACTAATGTAAGTTACTGCACAGTAAGTGGAAATAGGCCGGCATCTACATGTGCAGGCATTAAAGGCATTAATGCCATATGTGGTCTGACTTGGGACTAAAGTCAGTCCACACACAGTATTACTGCGCAGTAAGGTGTCTACATGTGTGTTACTGCACAGTGACTAATCAGGTGTAAATTTGATACCTTCAACATGCAGGTTTCAAATTTACACTCAAATCGGCATAAGTTGCCATAGTTACTGCGCAGTACAAGTATGCACATGTAGACACAGTAGTTTTCAGTTACTGTGTAGTAATTTAGGTTACTGAGCAGTAAATGTGCATATGTAGATGCATCCTATTTTCTGGAAAACTTTGCTCTGCATCTGGATTTTAATCCAGAAGGCTTCCAGAAGAAGCACCTCCAAATACTCTCTCTCCAACTATTCCTACATTTCAGTAACAAGCTGGTACATTACTTCAGCCTCCACTACACATTACATGTATTACATAATTAACTGGTTAATTGTGCAATTAATTTAGATTGGCTACACATTTAAAGTTACTACACTGTGAGGTACTGCCACACATGGCTTGGGCTCCCAATCATGGCAATACATGGGTGTTGCCACAGCTGCAGGACTCACAGCTGCAGAAGCTTACCACTTGCTGGTGCAGGAGGAGCCTAGTATGGTGATCCCAGGCTCCCCCTACACCCGCAATAAGGTGTGATAGGATCTGATGCTGGATTCCACAATCATGCCTCCTGCCATGCATATTTGGCATGCCAGGAGGTGTGATTGTGTAGATCATGTATCAGTTCCTGTCACGCCTTTACCCGAACATCTAAAGTAATAACAGGGATCTGGCTATTTATTTCTGAACAGTAACATGATTCAACATCTCAAGGGATTGTTAATTTTTAAAATACTGATACTAAACTCTGGAAGATAGAAATACAATTTAAACCACACCTGTACTTTTGTGATATCAATGACTGCTGGGATGGGCACCTCAGAGTAATAACTATGTATGTCTTGTCATGGTACGTGTAAAAAGTAGAGCTTCTTAGAAATTCTCTGCTGGAACAGTTTCCTCATCAGTGAATATGGAATCTCTGAATTGCAAATGTTTCACAGAACTGTTTCAATTTGAACAAAACTACCTGGTTTCCCAACACTCACCCACCTGCCCAGCTTCCTGAGAGTTTGTCTGCTGGGCTTGTGGAGAGCCAGGCTGTGGGTTTTTAGGTAATCTGTGTGGAGAGCTTACCAGCTGCTGAGGCTTTGAAAGCCCTGGGAATCCCAGTTTCCAAGTTTCAAGGAAGCTGACTTAGCTGGGACTTATGGATTCCATATTCCTCATTACCACACAGGGAAAATTTTATTTTGAAATGATAAAAGTGAACTATTCCCATTTTTCAGAACAATGTTTTTATTCTGTTTCCCAGGGTGTTAGAAGTGTTTAGTTTTTGGTCCAAATCAAAATGGAAACACAACTTGAAATCTTGAAATCCTCAAATCCTCTGCAAAATGACAGTTCTCTAGACATGTTAATAAAAACAGCAGGATGACACCAATGACAACTTTCCATAGTCTGCCCTTAGATTTTGTTCTTTTATACATGCTAACAATTTCTGTACCCTAGATAACACAATTGGGAGCTGAGCTGGTTTATTCTACTGGGTATCTCTTAATTAAGGTAAAGACTCTCATTAATGAAGGAATTTAGAAGTGCCAGGTAGATTAAAACCATAAACAAAAGCATTGCAATCTGCTCAGTATTAAGTCATCATGGTAATCAAATTAAAACACATCAATGTATTGATCTTTTCATCCAGTATCACTTACAGCACTCTTCTGATAAGTCCAGATAATTAGGCTTTCCATGGACCATGTCAAATATATTTGCCCATCCACTATTGTCTCCTATAAAACAATATTAACATTTGTCAGCTGCCCTGTCGATAGTGTATCAAGCAGTGAAAGTGATGAAGTGGGAAAGAGAAATACAAAGATTTAAAAATGGAAGTCACCTTGGTGGGTGTAAGCATACATTTGTGTTGGTGTGTGCTGCTGTTTGGTCAACAATTCACAGAGGAACTTTTAACTGTTGTATTTCTTCAAGCAGTGAGCTTTTTCAACTGGAAGGGAATGTTTTGACTTAACCATCCACTATATCATTCAATCCTTAACTTTTTTAACCAAGCCACCTCTCATGCCTATACATAAACATATATTTTTGTCCAATCTCCCATACCTTATTTCTTTCTTAACTATTACCTTAATTCTTTTAAAGTTTCTGCTTAAGCTCAATTTTTTAGATTTTTGGAGAGGATCCAGAATTTATTGCATGGGGAATTGTGACTGCTCTTCACCTCTGAGAATCAAGTTACTACTTTATCACAGGTATGTAGGGCTAGAAGGAACCTCTGGGCAAAGTACAGACAGTCACAAAGCCCGAGGCTGAATTGATTCAGTCTTTGCAGGTTAGTCTAAGCTGCAAAGATTGAACAAATAAGCAAATGAACAGACATTCGCTTGTGATTCTGGAAATTCAGCCACATACCTGCAGTGGCTCAAGCCAGAAGCCAGGGTGGTGCTAGAGCACAGCTCTCTGGCGCACAGCCAGCATGGGCCGTGTTTGCTTCCTCTTCCTGCTGCCCCCAAGGTCTTTGGGATTTGTAGTACACAATCACAACTGCGTGACTCTGCAGGGTTGCTCATCACTTCCTTTTCCTGCTTCCAGGTGTTTCTGAGATTTGTAGTCTACAGTTGCAGCCAGCACTAAGCGGGCAGGGCAAGGCACACTTCTGTACTCAAGGGAAGGAGAATATAACCCCCTCCCTCACCCTACACCACAGCTGGGTTTTGTCTGGGAGAGCCAGTGAACCAGCCCTCACTGCTCCAGCTAGGGAGCAAAGGGACAGGGTCAGCTCTGCTGTCTGAAGCAGACAGGATAGCTTAGCTCAGGGATAAAAAGCATGCTGGGATGCTGGGGGACTCTTATTTAACCTGAACCAGGAAGGGTCTGGGACATAAGTTTCATAAACTGGCTTGACCTAAATCATTTAAGTCTGATACTACATTCAACCAGGTTTATCTTAAACCAATTTCAGCCATTTTGAAACTGGTTTATGTAGAACTTCTGTTCTGTTACAGGTTTAAACCAGTTTCTGGTCACTTAAACCAGTTTATGTGTAACTTCTCTCCCTAGTGATATCAGACTTAAGTGATTTAAGTAAGACCAGTCTATTGAAATTCTGTACCAGATTCTCTAGTGACTCAAGTTAGGTTGAAGTCTACCTGCATCCCACATGCCTTTGTGGCCCCCCACTCCTCCCTCCCCCTTGCATGGAAGCATGCTGGAGATGCACTGGAACTCAGCTCATGCTCAGCTGCTCCAGCCAAGCGCCTAGCCAGGCCTACCCTGGAGCTGTCACAGAACAATGGCAGCAAAGCCTCTGTCCCCAGGGTCCTGCCTGTGCCTGTCAGCCAGGCTGGGCAGTGTGGGGGACAGGGGAGAAGATGCTCCTGATGCAGCCCCCCCAACTGTGCTGGCTTGAGTCTAGGAGGCTGTGATGGGGGCCTCTGTTACTCTACCCAACAACCCCTGCTGCCTGGCCCACCTTTCCAGGCGCAGGCAGGAGCCATGGCACTGGCTCTCTGCTGGGCCAAGCAATGGCTAGGGGCTGGAACAGAGGCCCCTACTGCATGTGCCTCCCCTAGCTGTGCTGGCTTAGGTCTGAGGGTCTGGGTCTTGGGCCAGATCCAAGCAGTGGGGGCCTCTACTCTCCCACCCCGCCCCATTGCTACTGACAGCCAGCCATTTCGGAGCAGGACTGGGGAGAGGGGACATGATGGCCAATAGGGCTGTACGAAATTTAAATGGGTGTTTTGTTTCAATGCTGTTTCGATTTATTTTGAGCTCGAAACAGTGAAATTGAAATTAAACAAAAGGCTTCAAAACAGCTTTGAAATGAAATGAGGGCATTGAAACGTTTCAAAATGTTCCAAGTTTTGAAGCCAGGTTTGCTTGCAGCTAAAGAGAAACTGAGGAGAGGGAGGGGCAAGGGGGGGAAAAAGGACTGTTCTGATATTGACATGTGTAGCTGGCCAATGACTGTGATCCTCCCCTGAGGTCCCTTCCAATCCCAGTGCTCTGGGGGAGGAACAGAAAACAGCAGAAAATGCATTTTTTGAACTGAGCCTTGGGGTCAGCTTACTGAGTTGTGTCTTTCAGCAGCTCCAGAGAAAGTCTATCACTTCCTATTTGCTAGCCTGTTACTAGTAAATGGAATTCTCCAATACCTTTTCCTTTCCTAATACCCTTTATTATCATTCCTTTCCTTTCAATGTAGTCCTCCCCCAAAATCCTCTTTTTGTTTTTGTTAGTCTATTTTGATTATTTTTCCCCAGAAAAAAAATCTGTGCTCTCTCTCACAGTGTGCATTCCATTCACTGTGCAGGAAAGCACAGCATATATTGCATATTATAATATAGAATTTATACAGGAACACATACATACATTTATATATTGTATTTATTACATAAATACATACATACAATTATCTACATATATTACATAAATATATATTACATTACAGAAGAACACACAGATTTTACAGCATACCAAACACACTACAAAGCGTGCTGGAAAGGCAGCTGGCAAGCCTTTGGGGGTGGGGGGAAATGTAAGTCCCCCACCCTCAAACTGAGATGCAGCCTCTTTCCAACAACTAGCAGGCATGAGGCCTTTGGTTCTACTGGCAGCAAGGAGAGGGGAGCAGTGCCACTGCCCAAGCCTGCATCCCCTCCAGTAGCACCAGCCATAACCCCCCCCCCACCACAACAAGCAGCAAAAGCATGACAGTCTTCTCCACCCCCATTTCATTTCACATCCTGAGCCTTCCAGTGCCAAAGGAAGAGCTGGATCTGAGTGCCATAGCAAGGGAAATTCTGGGAAGGAGGGGGAATCATCTGAGTTTATGCTCCAAAACTTTCAAGTTTCCCACCGAGCCAGGTCTCCTTCCCCAGAAGGTACTTCAGAGGAGGCTGAGGTAGAGGTTGTGGAGGCAAGTGGCTGAGCTAAGTCCACTTCTCCTGTTGTTGTGCCTCTGCCTGCTGAGGAGGTAGAAAAGGTAGCTTCTGCACATGTACCTGAACCCTAGAAGTGAATGGATAGTGTGGTCTGGGATCATTTTGAGCTGGAAGATGATCCCACATATCCTATCTGTCTGTACTGCTGAGCTAAAACCAGCCAGGGGAAGGGAACAAAACACATGAGCACCACAGGGATGCTGACGCATCTCCACAGGCACCATGCCCTTGCCCTTGCTTCTCCTCAGCCTGGCACCAGTGGGAGCATACCCAAAAAGAAGTCTCTCTTTCGCGCCAAAGCTCCCATCCCCCTGAAGCAGAGGCAGACCACCCTGGACCAGTGGGGGAAAAGGTGGACAGAAAGGGGGGCGCATTGCAAGGGTGAGCGAGATAACCCAGAGCATTGGGAAGATGCTTGCTGTGGATGGCCAGCCCTTCTCCTTAGTTGAGCGGCCAGGGCTCAGGCTGGTCATAGCACTTGTGGCCCCACCGTACCAAGTGCCTGCATGCACCACCTTCAGCAAGATGGTGGTGCCCTCCCTGTATGAGGCATGCAGGGAGTACTTGAGGGAGGAACTGCGCAAGGCAGGTCCGCAGGTGGCCTTACACTTTACCTCAGATATCTGGAGCAGCCAGGGTGGAGGTCATGCCTACCTCTCCCTCATAGGGCACTGGTGCAACCAGTCAGGCCACTGGTAGGCTCTCCTTCAAGCCATATGGCAACCAAGACCATGGGGGCCATGAACCGCTTGGTGCAGGGGTGGCTTATTGGGCAGGGGGAGCTCACCTGTGGTTTCATGGTCACTGACTATGAAGCCAATATGGTCAAGGTGGTCCATGATGCCACCTTTGTTGGCATCCACTGTGTGGCACACAAATTCCACCTTATTGTCAGGGATGCCTTGGAGGGGGACAGGGCTGCTGGTGACAGTGCCAGCACCACCAGCAAGCTCATTTCCAAATGCAGGAAGGTGGCACGCTACTTCCACCAGAGCATCAAGGGGGGCAAGATGCTGTGATACAAACAGGCAGAGCTGAACATCCTCCAGCACAAAATCATGCAGGATGCGGAGGCTCAGTAGAGCACCACATATCTGATGCTCGAGATGGTGGTGGAGCAACAGAAGGCTATCCATAAGATGGCCTTGCTTGGGGAGACTGGGGTCAGTGGGCCCCTTAACAGAGCTGAGTGGGATAACATCTCCCAGACCTTGGTGGTCCTCAAGTCCTTCCTTGAGTCCACTGAGATCCTCAGTGCTGGCAATGCCCTCCTTAGCCAGGTGATCCCTGTAGTGAGGGAATGTCAGAATCAAATGAAGGAGTTCCAGGGGCTCAATGTTTCTGGCTGGGGCAAGCTGCTGTCACCAGATGTGCAGGCACTAGTGAGGTAGCTGAAGGAGTGCATCAGGAAATTTCCTGATCCCTTGTGGTCCAGTATGGTCCACTTGCTGGCTGCAATGTGTGACCTGTGGGTGAAGGGGAGCATCATTGTATGCAGCAGCAAAACCCTGGATCAGTGGACAGAGGTGCTGGTGAACAGAGTAAGGGAGGCAGAAGGTCAGAAATGGGGGGACATAAAAGAGGGGGATCCACTGTCCTGTGCCAGCACACCATCCACCAGCCAGTCTTCTCCTCCACCACAGGCACTGCCAAACCACTTTTCACAGATGAGCCTATGAACTGCATTTCATTAACCTCTTAGGTATAGAAACTTATGGGCTCAATATAGACATTGGAATTTTGACACACTACAACCTGCTGGACATCTGACTCCCCAGGTATCTCTCCACTTTTACCTGCTATATCCTCCTTCCCCCCTACCCCAGCCTGTCTCTCACCCCAACACCTCCATTTCCATTTTTCCTGACTGGCTTTCTTGCCTGCATTGCATGGCAGCCTCTGGCTTCTTTACTATTCCTTCCATCCAGAAAGAGTACACACACCAGCTGCAGGTGCTTCCTCAGCCTGATGAAGGGTTTTTAAATTTGAAAGCTAAGATATATTTCTCCAACTATTCAGCTGGTCTACTAAAAGATATCAGATTGACTCAAAGAACCTTGTCTGCCATGTCCTTAAACCACCATGGGGACAACCCACACCCCTAGCACCTCTCCGCGGTCAGCTGACTGAAAGAAGGCAGGGCCCTGGGCACATCTAAGCCCCCGGGCTGGGGCTGCCAGGAAAAAGTTCTCTGGCTGCTGCTGGAGAAGAAGCTCCTGCAGAAAAGGAAATAAAGGCTCTGTGACAGTTTGGCTGCCTGCAATGCTAGTGCTACTGTGCTGCTTACCTATTGTTATTTAAAGTGGTGGATGAGGCTGAGGCTGTAGAGGAGGAATAGGCCTCATTGGGGCACACTACCGTATCATGTAGAGGCCCCAGTGCCAGTGAGGGCGTGCCTTAACACACACACAAAATCACGTCACAAGTTTTGCTTGTCAGCAGCTTGACTTTCAGTTTCTTAGAAACTCCTGTACGTATCTCCTTGAAACGTGGCAGGCCTCATGGCTTCAGCAGAGGCTACCATCCCGACTGTTTTCATTTGAATCAGGAAATAAATGACGAAGTTATAGGCATTTTTGTGATTCCCCATTAAGCAAAATGTCGAAAAGCGTTGAAAAAGCTTTGAAACAGCAAAACAGTTTTGACAAAACAAAACAGACCAGTGCTTTGAAACAGCAAAATGAAACACTGTCCCTTCAAAACAGTGAAACGGAAGTTGAATGGAACGGTGCTGTTTCGCACAGCCCTACTGGCCAATAACGTGCGGCCGGCTGCTCAGGTGCTTGGCTGGGCTCAGCGTTCTCCGGCAGGCTTCTGGGAGGCATGCAGGAGCACCCCCAATCTGCTGGCCTCGGCCGCTGCAGGCAGCCCATGTGCTTGGTGGGCTGGATCCAGCCCGTGGGCTGTATTTTCCCTGACCCTGGTCTATACCTTGTCTAAATGATCATTTAGGATTAGTCAGTGACTTTCAACTCTGATGAAATCACACCAGGGAATAAGTGAGAAGTGCACTAAATTCCAAAAAGGGAGAAAGAGCAAATACCATGGAACCCAGGGGAAAAGGCAATAAGCATGGAGCCAGGTGATCATGGGTTCACATCTCAACATCCAAAATGAAATATTCCCATTTCCCTAGAAGTAAGGATACTATGATCAATAACAACCATTAAAAACTTTAAATTAATATTTAAAAAATATACAAACAAAATAACTGAATATCGAAACAAAAAGATTGATATGTCAATGCAACTCCTGTTTGCATACTGTAACATGGAAACCTACAATCAGGTTTACAATAAAAACCAGTTACAATCTAAAATGAAATTGAAAATGGTTGAAGGCAAGATTTAAATAGAGGAAACAACTTGGTGGGAAGACAGAAGGAATATAAGAGATTTAGTATCTGACCAATGTTAAAAAATGATCTCAAATTGCAGGCGCACACAGCAAAAATACCAAGAGTTGACCAAGGTTGTAACTACTGAATGAACTGCAAATAGTTATGTAAGTTATATGTAGAGAGCACCCTGTTTTGGCTTGTCCTGATTTCTGAGTTAATGCTGAGAGAACCCCTAGAAAACCAAATTACTCTAGGGGTTCACTGAGTCTCTTGCTAAAATAATGCTCAATGAGGAAAGATAATTTGATTTCAAGTGCACATGTAAACAATAATGTGCCATGTTATAGGCCACATCTACACATTACACTTAAGACTTGATTAACCAGTTAATCATGTCTTCAGTTGTGACCTAGCCACACATTCATCAATTAATGGCAAGACAAAACAAGGAACAAGACACAAAGTCATTCCACAAAAACTCTGTAATAACTCTGGGGCTCATTCTTATCACCATGAGCCCTGAGACATGCATGCAGCTGTCGTCAGCCATGTAGTCCAGGCTGCTTGCAACTGGTGGTGGGCAGGCTGCAAGCAGCTGCACTGAGGTCTGGAGCTCTGTGGTGGGTGGTGACTACATACACACCTCAGGGTGCATGGCGGAGAAGGGGTCAGCTTCTCCCCTGCCATTTGTCTGGAGGCACACATGCACCCACCGCCAGCAATGATCCAGGCTGGGATTCTGCAGACCTTGGTGCAGCTGCTTGCAGCCACCACACTGCCTGCCACACCTGGCCCAGGCTCTGGGCAGGCCCCTGTCGCCCACCATGGTACCTGGACTGCCTGCAGCAGACAGTGGAGAAGCTGCAAGTAGCTGTACCGAGATCTGCAGAGCCCCAGCCTGGCTCATTGCTGGTGGCTAAATGACCTCACATAACATGCTCTGGCATGTGTGCCAATCAGTGTTGCCAACCGCTGCCCTATCACATCTTTACCTGAATGTCTAAAGGGGCCTATAGACACTGCCTGAATTAACATTCCTGCATGTTATCTTTGTGTTTGTGGTTTTTATGTTTTATAGAAAAGAATGGAAAATTTAACAACACTACATTGTACTTTTAGACCTGTCATGCAGGTAGGTTGTCTGAGGACTATTTATGCACTTCTAAGAATTAGATGATGAAGCACTTAACTCATTACCACATTTCACATTGTTTCTTAAGTGTAGAGTAGTCATGGATGTTATACTCACCACAGTTTTCTTCATCTGCACCATTCCCACAGTCATTTATACCATCACAGTGAAATGACCGTGGAAGGCATGTTGTAAGGTTCCCACATGGAAAATAACCCTTTGGACAGATGGGGAGAATTGAGCTGCCTTCAAACAGCCATGATTCTGGAGATAAATGAAAACATTGTCTTTTACACAAACTTTCTTCTACACAAACTATATTTCTAAATGCTTGACAGAAATAACTCACCTATGACAGTATAGACAGTAATGGTATGTAAGGCAGTGGTAAAAAATAGCTATTTTATAATACATTTTGTACTTTTTTTATTGCAACATACCAGAGTGGACAGAACATTATAAAATGACACTACTACTATGTATGTCTGTCATAATAAATGATTATGTCAATAATTACATGGACTGGAGATATTATGACTGAATTCTATTGTATTCATGTTCTGAAAACTTAAGAGGTGGCATTTTCTGAGGGGCACCGTGAGTATAATGAGAGGTGCATTGAGCCTATAAATGTTGAGAAACTGATGAGTTAGCCATTTTTACATGAACTGGTATCTTTAAAAACAGTTATGCAAAAACAATCCTAAATAACAGAATAATATATGTAAATGAACATTGAGATACACTCAGAAGATAATTAATGAAGCATGGAAATGTCTTTGTGTAACTGCAGTCCCTTCTGCCAGTTATTCAAGGCAGTTAGGAATCAGGTTCAGGTTGCACAAGAACATTTTGTGTCGTTACATGTGAAGAACACTTCCCAAAGAAACTGTTACTCTTAGTTCTTAGCTAGGTATTCTTAACTGGCCACAAGCAATTTGGCCTAAAAAAACCATATGAGCACCACTTATCTATGGTTAACAACATTATTATCAGGATCACACACAAACCTATGTAAAAAAAAAAATAAAAAAGGAAGAGAAGGGAATACAACAGTAGTGAGCACTCAAGCAGGCAAACCCCAAAACAATAACAATAACTGTCTCCCTATCCAGGTGGAGATTATCAGGTCTTTTCCTGCAGAAAAAAGAGAAGGCTTCCCAAGTTTTTTAAGGATGCATGGCTAAGGTTGGGCTCCAGAGTCTGAACTTAAGCCCCAAAAATGATACCTAATTTTGAATACTGCTGACCACCTGGTTGTTACTGTCAGCAGCCCAAATACTCATGCACCCCTCAAGAAACTAAGACTCATATAAACAACAGTAACTGGCTTGAAAATGAAAGAAAATTGGTTGTAGCAGAAAGAAGCTTACAGCAATCAAGTACTTCAGTATACCTTTGTTCTGCTGTAGCGCTGTTAATGTATTTGTTTTCTGTGCAACAACCTCTGTGGTTGTTATACCTGCATGCAGGGTAGGACTGCAAGGAACCGATTCCCTTTTCTGCCTATCTTTATTGGTATGCCTGGGTGATGGGAGTGGGAACTGTTTGTTTTAACAGTTTGAATAGAAGGGGTCAGGTGTGTCAGGTTTGTGGGCACTCGTCCTACCTTCTAAAATTGTAAAGTGCATAAGGGGACTGATGTTGTAAAATGAAATTGGGGAAAGGTGGCAACAGGGTCAGTGTTCACTATGACTTGTGTGAAGGTGTAAGGTGGAGGGACCCTCAGCTCAGGAACCTCAGAGGAATTTTGGGGAAGTTGTCTTCAAGAACTACCTGCTACAAGAAGAGCAGCTGTTCAGGGAAGAGTAACAGATTCAGACAGAAGCCTGTGCCCAGTTGTTTCTGAAATATCTGAAATACAGAGAATGGGTCAGGTTCAGGCCTGTATCACCTGGATTCTAAAAATGCTAAAATCAAAACAGCTGTGTAGGAGGAGCAGCAGCAGCAAACTACAGAGACTTGGAATGGCAACAGGTAGCACACTTTTGCTGTGACCTGTGGCAGAGCAACACCTATGAACGCCTTGTGCCTCTGGAGGCTTGGTGGGGGGGGCATGGCGACCACCTGCAGGTGGTGGTGACAGCAATAGTGGCGGCAGGGTTGTGGTAGCGGTGAGTGGGGACCACCTGCAGGTGGCTGTAGTGACATCAGTGATAACAGTGGACCAAGCAGGGATCACTCGCAGGTGGCCTTAGTGGTCTAGGCAGCAAGGGGGGGTGGTGTGTGACCAGCACTGAGAGGCAATTGGTGACCACCTGCAGACATTGCCAGCAATGTCGATGGGGGCGGGGGGGGGAGACTGCCCGTAGACACTACTGGCAACATAGGTGGTGGCCAATCTCAGCAGGTGCATGTGCACCCGTGTGCACTGCCTACACTTTGCCAATGGCAGTAGCAATGCATTCTCCATCAGTGATCCCTCCTGTACAGGGCAAGTTAGCAACTCTTGGAGAAAAGCCGGTTTCAGATAGGGGT